CCCCCTTTTTTTTTTTTTTTTTTTTTTTTTTTTTTTTGCATCCTAAGATATTGTTGTGGAAGGATGGGGGGGGGAGTGGGAAGGGGACAGGAGTGGCCCACAGCTGGCTCCTTTGCTGGCCCAGTTGTTGATTGCAGTGGGGTGGGGCCACACCGGGCTCTGGAGCCTGGGGCCTTCCAGCAGTGGCTCAGTCATCACTGGCCTCTGAATCCACACTGCTAAGGATAACAATGTTCATCCATTTCTCAAATGGGTCAATCCAAGTCCATCTTTTTATTCTTTGCCCTCAAAAATTGCAAGAATGAACACACAGCATTTATATACTTCACAATTTAGAAAACTTCTTCACCGTTGACTCTCTTAGAACAGTTAGGTTGGATTATCCCCTTCCTACAGAGGCAGAACATGAGAGCCAGAAAGGCAAAAACATAAATAAAAAAATAAATAAATAAATAAATAAAAAGACTTGTCCGAGATAAGAGCTTGATTAATATCTATCCACTTAATGAAGAAATGACTGGCTGCTCAAAAGCCACTGCCTAGCACTGCATGGGAGAACTGCTACCTGCATGCCACTCTTACTTCCAGGGCAGAGTGAGATAAGACCACTGATAGCCATCACACATTTAAGGTGACCCTGGAAGGATGACAAGGGACCATCAATGCTGGAGAGAACAGTAACCCCACCAAAGGAGCAGACCCCTTTTGCAGAAGCCTGAGTGCAGAATAGAAGCCCCAATGACCTACCGAGAGAGACCCACCTATGCCGAGAATAAAAGCACACACTTGAGTAGTATTTATTATGTACCAGGAACATATTGTTTATATGCATTAACTCACTGAATCCTCACTACAACCCTATAAGTAGATAATAATCCTCATTTACACATGAGGAAAACAGGACACAGAGGGGTTAAATAACTTACCCACAGTCACACGACTTGTGAGGTGGCAAGAGGCAATTTGAACCCCAGCTGATACTCTTAACCCTATACTCTGTATATCTGGAAAAGCCACATGGGGTAGCAGAAAGACCCAAAGTTTTGAAGGTGGACAGAATCCTGTGTTTAACAAAGATTCTTTGAGCACTTACTATGGACAGGACACTGTTCTGATGCTAAAAGAGGAGCTTATATTCAAGGGGAGAAGATAGAGAACAAACAAGCTGTCAGACAGTGATAAATACTATGGAGAAATAGAAAGCAGAGCAGGTAAGATAGGGAGCCTAGGGAAAGGTGGAGTGGGGGTTACTATTCATACAGACTCATAAGGGAATGGCTGGCTGGTTAGCTGAGTTGGTTAGAGTGCCGCCTTGCAACACCAAGGTCAAGGGTTCGGATCCCAGTACCAGTCAGCACCAAAAAAAGAAGGTGGCATTGAGCAAAGTCCCACAGGAAGTGAAGGACTGAGCTGTGCAGACATCCAGGGGAGAAGCTCCCTCACAAGGGGACGAATGCAAAGGCACCCCCTCCCCACTCTGAGAGGAGACATGCTTGGGGTCATGGAAGAATGAGAGGAGGCGTGTGTGTCTGGAACAGAGTAAACAGGAGCAGAGAGGGAGAGATGGGAAAGAGTCCTTGGAAACTACGGTGAGGACCTTGGATTCACTCTGTGCAAAAACTCCTGTTTACTCCTGTTTAAGCCAGGCAAGGGTTTCAAGCAGAGAGTGGCATGACAGGACTTCAGATTTTAAAGGATCACTCAGCTGACTGTGATAAAATTATTTGAGGGCAGAAGCCCAGAGACCAGTGGGGAGACTATTGTAAGAGACATGGTGTCCCACAAAAGCCCCAGCTCTACCACTGGTAGCAGCTAGAGGACTTTCAGCAAATCACTAAACTCTCCAAGCAGTGATTTTCACATCTGCATAAATACTTGCCTTGAGGGTCATTGAGGGGATTAAAGAAGATAAGTAAATTTGGGGTCACATGGAAGAAACTCAATGAATATCTTTCCTCCTTTCTCCTGGGAGGGGTGGGGGACTCTCCAGTCCATTCTCTCTCCCCCGGACACCTCACCCTCCCTGGCTTCTGTATTGCAGATTCTCAGCTGGCTGAGTGCCAGGGTCCCCCTGAGGTCGAGGGCGCCCCCCTCTTCTCCCTCACTGAGGAGAGTTTCAAGGCCTGTCACCTGACCCTGACCCTGGATGATTACCTCTTCATCGCATTTGTGGGCTTCGTGGTCTCCATTGCCTCTGTGGCCACCAACTTCCTTCTGGGCATCACAGCCAACTGCTGCCACCGCTGGAGCAAGGCCAGCGAAGAGGAAGAGATTTGACGTGGTGCCTCTCATCCCTCTGTGCTGCTGCTGACTGCTGGACATCTCCCCTGACTGCCCCTTTTGGTTCCATGGTGCCTGGGTGCCTTGGTCATGGTTCAAGCAAGGTCAGGAAACCAACTATGTGTGAGCATCTACTTTGGGCCAGACACTGCGCTAGGAACTTGGAGTGTGAGATGATTCAACCCAGTCCCTGCCCCTGAGTCTCTTCCCTCTGGTAGAGAAGAGAAATTCAAAAACTATTCCCTTTAAGACAATATGTCAGGACTCTGAGCACATAGTTATGGAAGCCCAGAGGAGATGCCATCAACTCTGTCTAGCAAAGTCCAAGAGAACTACAAGAATGGAGCGATTTATGAGCTGGGTCATCAGAAAATGTCTACTTTGTCAAGAAGACAGAGAAGAATGGACATAAGTAAAGGACAGAGGTCAGAACATACATGGTATGTTGAGAAAAGTGAACAATTCCTTGTGACCTAAGTGTATAGAGGGGCAGGGCAAAGAAGCAAAATTGTCCCTCTGACACCCAATCAGTCTGCTTTCAGTGCTGCCAACCACTGCTCCAGAGCATGAGAATGCCTCCCGCCAGCACCCTTTGTCTCTCCCCACCAGCAACTACCAGGTGATAGCATCTCCTGGTGAACACCCTCATACATCGCCAACTGTAGCCTGCTGGTGAGGCCCCAGGAGGCAGGCTGAGGACGGACACCTTCAGTGCCCCTTCTCCTACCCTGTCCCCTGCCTCTCAATCGAGCCTTGGCTTCAGGAGAGGGAGGCAGGAAGCCCAGCAACCAGGGCAGAAAGAGTCCTGGCCTCCTGGAACCCCAATCTTGTGACTGTTCATGCCATGATGCTCACACCAAGGGATCTCACCAGGAAAGTGCACTACAGGAAAGCCTGCTACAGACCCATAGCATGACAGTACCCAGGGCTGAAGGAGGACAAAGCCACCACAATCATGACCGTAGGAGGGTTTGCTTTTTCTTCTAAGCAACTCACCCATTTAAGCATAAGGGTGAGAGAGCTATTAATTACTGAGCACTTGCCAGTGTCAGGCACTGTGATAAGCTGTCTCCACAGACAATTCCCTTTAACACGCACAACAATCTCTTGAGGTGAACATTGTTGTTCCCATTTTACAGATGAGGAAATTAAGGCTTAGAGAGGTTAAAGAAACGTGCTACTTAATAAGCAAAATTAGGTCTGTGTTCCTTCCACTGCCCCATCCAAGTTGGGGAACATCACTTCTCCCTCTAAAGTTACATAAATTCAAATTCAAGTAGTGCTGATGAAGTTCCTCATAAGGGCCAGACACTCCTCTGGGCACTTTTCTATCTATTCATTTAATTATTTCAGTTCTCACAGCAACACTGCCTGGTGGCTTTTATTATCCCATTTTACAGACGAATTAACTGTAAAGAGCTGAGTAACTGGCCCAAGGTTATCTGGGAGGTGATAGGCAGCTGCATTCAGGGAAACTGCATCTAATCAGTCAGAAATCAAGTAACTTTAAGTGCAAAGCACAATTGTCATCACCGTTGTCATTGTCATCATCAGTTTCACCACTATCTTTCCTGTGTTTGCTCAGCACTGGTTCCTTCATGAAGTGCTATTGTGTCATTCTCTTTCAATCTTCACAACCCTGTGCGGGAGGCAAACCAAGCATCAGTAATCCTATTTTACAAAGGGGAAATGGAGGCTCAAGATTGGGTAGGACTTAACTAAGTGGCAAGGCTGGCACTCAACTCCAACATAGTTCTTTCTAATGCTTAATGCTTTCCCAGGTGCTTGTGAAAGAGAATGCCTGGGAAGGCTGGTAGTGGAGCCCTAGAATTCAGCAGCCATGAATGTGCCAATAGATCAGCTACATAAAGGGCAGTAAAACCTAGTGGCTGTGCAGATTTACACATGCTCAAGGTAGGACAACTTGCAGCCTCTGAAGCATAGAGGCAGCACAGGTAATGTCAAGTAGAAGATACCTGCTTTACAATGTGTAAATAAAATACTAGAACTGGTGGCCATAGTGGCAGTCATGTGAAAAACAAAATCTTTTAGAGGGAGGAGAGGAAGCTGTGTTAACCACTCCTGGTCAAGCTCTGCTGGGGTTGTGTTGCAAGAGATTCCAAGGGAGCAGAGAAAGCTATAGGTGAGAACCTCTTTCAACTCCAAAATGTTGGCAAGGCTGGCCAAAATGAGAATTGTAACAGGATTTATAATTATTATAATTATTATTTATAACAGAATTATAGCAGAATTTCTACCATGCCCCCAACTCTAGTGGGCTTCCATCATCCTATCCAAGAGAAGGGCCTGGAAGGAATGAAGGAGCATGTCCTGTCATCTTCCAAGTGTCCCCTCACTCATGCTTCCTGGAGCTAGTCAACCAAAAGCATCCCCAGAAACTTTGCTAAACCTGGGGTACTTGAACCCCGTGTCCCCTGAATCTTGCTTGCAACATCTGGGCCAAAGCTCTTGCTCCAATGACATCTGGAGCAAAGCTGTGCTGTGCTCTCTTCTTTCACTACAGCCAAGTATAGCGTCTCAAGCTGTTCTCCACCTGTGAAGCTGATGGCCTAATGTATTTGGAGAGGAACTTTCAGAAATAATAGTCTTGATGAAATAGTTAAGTTTCCCATAGAGGCATACCACATACATGTATAATAATCTCCTAGAGACTATTGTTGTTGAAATATAGGTAATATATTTTAAGATATGTACTTTTTATTGCATAGAACTAGAACCAGACAAGAATCAAATATCCTTTGAGATCAAACGTCCTTTCTAGCAGGATAATCTAGCCTCCATTAATGTCAAATCTTTCTGAGCAAGATCCATGGCTTCTAAAGAACAAATGATCCTCCAGTTGCTAGAAGGTCCCCAGTTAACTAAAGCACAATGAAGAAAGCATTCAACCACCTTACTGCCAAGGAATTCCCTGCTTTTCCCACCACCACCACCATCTTCTTCAAGCTATCAGAAGCAAGCTTCTAGAGATAATTTAGCAGCACTGGCCAGAATTGCTACCAAATCCCTGGTGACCACAAAGCTATTATGGTGTTCCCACAAGGCTTCATTCAATCTGTTCCCAACTGGTTAACATATATGTGATGGGGTATCTCTGCATCTGTACATCTGTCTGTGAAGTTCCATTTATTATGTTGGTTATCTGCTGACATAGTACAGATCTCTTTGGAATTTGGGTTCAGTTTTCTGACACAGTCCACTCAGCCATCTGCTGATGGCATCATTTGATACACTAAGATGGAACCCCACCAGGTTTGGGTTGAGGCTGGCTGCTCAGAAAATATAAAAAATAAAAATCTGTGGCAGAGACATCCTAATGAGAACCTGACTTCTCCCTGCTTCCCTCTTTTCTCTTCTACCCCTCAGAGACTTGTCCTCACCTCAGAAGCTTCCTTCATGTTGGGCCTGAGGATATTAAAGTTTAGCTAACCAACAAGACTATGGTGGTCAAGGTCTGGGCCAAGAAAATTGTTCTTTAGAAAAGACCCCACATCTGTACCACACCACTCTGGACCAGTTGCCTCTGGTCACCCTCAGATGAATCCTCATCTGTGTGTTTCTCCATTCCTACAGGGATTCCCAGGGAACCTTAGAATAGGTCTCCAGAGTTGCTACAGAGTTTCAAGGCACGCTATAAGAAGCTAGATGCATAGAATTTAAACAGACCAATATAGGTATTTCTCTTCAACAAACAAGGAAGACCTACAGCCCCTATTTTCCCCATAGATATCTTTGTTGACATTCTTTCCAGTGCTAGAAGAGTATAAGTAAATTTCTTCACCCATTCTTCAAAAGGACATCCTCCCAAAGCTACAGAAATTTGTCTGCTCTTTCTCACCCCAGAAAGAGGCCAAAGGGAAGTGAGGAAAGCAAGTCACAAGGTCCTTTGTAAATCGTCATTGTGTTTGCCACAGCACTGGATGGAGAGTTGGATCTACAGAGCTCTCAGTTTTTCTAAGCGCTGTCCTGCAGAGTCTTGATGTCTGGGCATGGGAGGGCTAGGGAGGGGTGGGATTAAAGGGAAGATGCTAACCTTTGTGTAAAGATGATTTTATAACCATGCACTTTTGTAACTGTGAAGAATTTTTCATAAATGCACATTAATAATAAAGACTGTATAGTTTAACAAATTTTCTACAGAGTTCTGAAGAGGAGGGAGGGGGAAGGAGGCAGAAAAAGAAAGACAGAGAGAAAGGAACTAGGCAGAACCAAGAGAATGTGTGCCAAAATATACACACAAAAGGTCTGTGGGGAGGGAGTGGATGAGAATAATTAGGAGATGTGCCAGCCATGAAGGGGCATGTGTGGGAGTAAAAGGAACATCGCAAAAGCATATTTCTAAACAGGCAAAAAAGAATATGTGTGTCTGTATGCACACACCCCTGTGTGTAGGCATATTTTGGTGCCTAAAATTACACAAAGAAGAGAGCATATGTTTTATACATGTTGGTGTTTGCAGCTTGGGTCATCCATAAAACATGCCAAGGCAAGTGGGTGTGCCTGCATAGTTAGCATCATTGAGGAGTGTGTACCAGGGAGATGGCCCATGCCAGCAGCATGGGCAAAAGGAGACTAACTCAGGCATACAGATAAACCAGGCATCTAAATGCACAGTGTGGGGGATGGACAAGCCCAACAGTGGTATAAGTTCAGTCTCTGTTCTCATAGGTTAATAAAGGGAAGGGACTCTAAACCTCCTGGGTCTTGCAAATGTTGCCTACATACTATTGGAAATAAGATGATTTGGCAGTGAACTGCAGTAACATGGCAAGAAAAAGGAGGAAAGTCTACTTCTATAATTATAATGGCAGCCATTTTTATCCCAGTACTCTAAGCAGGAAGTAGCTCTAAGCAGGAAGTGGCTCTAAGCAGGAAGTAGCTCTAAGCAGGAAGTAGCTCTAAGCAGGAAGTGGCTCTAAGCAGGAAGTGTTTCTTTCCACCAATAGGGATTTTAACCTCCCTCTATTCCTCCCACTCCAATTGCCACAAGTTATAGACAAATACTTGACTCACAAAGGAAAGCCACTAAAGGGACAGATACTGATTCAGAACACTCAGAAAGACAAAGGATATTCCCAACTATAACCAGTGTTTTCTGTAGTAGATTGGAAGGAGGCAAAACCCTTCTCTTAAAATTAAATATTTAGTAGAGACTATATTGAGCAAGTGCAAAATCAAAAATGAGAGTCCTGAAATAAGTAGACATCTCACAGAAGACCAGATCTTGCATAGCTCATTCAATGCAGTGCCAAGTATATAACTAGCAATTAACAATGACAAATGATAATGACAATCCTAATTATGACATAACATTTATTGAGTAAAGCTGCTGTACTAAGCACTCTATGTGGATTAACTCAATTCTCACAAAAACCCGAAATAAGTACTATTATTACACCCATGTTACACATGAGGGAACTGAAATTCAGACAGGTTAATATGTGCCTAAGATTTCATATACAATAAGTAGTACAACTGGGTTTAGACACTCAGTAATACTTGGTGACTGACTGACTTCAAGGAACAAGGACTCAATCTGAAGTAAACTTTTAGCCACAAAGGTCCTCTACAATTACTTGGTAAAAGAAAATTTGGAGGGTAATAGGCAAAACCAGTACATATCCTATATGTTTCATTGCATGTAGCTTGGGTGACTGCATTGGTCAAGGTAGGTTAATTGTGATAACAGATGATCCCAAGTCTCAACAGTGTAAAGATTTGTTTAATGGATTATTTAACACAATTAAGGCTTATTTCTAGCTCATGTCTCATTCCAATGCATGTCAGACGCTCTGCTCCCAGGATCCTTTCATCTACTGATTCTAACAATCCTGAGGCCACAGAATATTTGGAGGAACCAAAGCTGGAAGTATTGTACATCAATTCCAGCCATATTTCACTGGCCAGAACTCAGTCTTATTACTTCATTTAACTTCAAGGTAGTAGACAAGCTGTTCACCTAGAAGGCAAAGGAAATATACTTTGGTCAACCCCGTGAGTCTCTAACAGGGTCTGCCCTACTAATCACCAAATACCTGTTTGAGGCTAGCGTACCTGCACCAGCAGGAGGCTGGCTGTAGTCACACTTATCTTACCCTGTCCTCCTCACTTATCTTACCCCATCACTACATCCACATCAAAGCTCAACAGTGCCAATGATTCAGTACTCTCAACCAGGTCTCCTGGTGTCCAGGCACCTGTATACTAAAAAGAAAAATTATCTGTCCCCCATCCATCCCCCATTCTACATGCACCTAATATACGACTGTAGCACAAGGACAAAGTAAGAGCAAATTAGAACCCTTATTTGGAAAGTGGGAAAACATGCACAGCTGTCATGGTCCACAGCAACTCTGAAATCCTGCTGGGAGAGCATTATAAAGACTTGGGGTTATTGAGATTCTGCAGCCAGCTTCTTGCTGGTACAAGGATACCAGCCTGAAATTTGTTTTAGGTTTCAATAGTCAAAAGCTTTTTGAATCAAAGTTAATGGTTCCTTAGCAATATAACTCCCTTAAAAACTTAGTTAATAAATAAAACATTTTTAGGATTTTGTAACTTAAAAAAAAATTTAGTAGATTTATGTTCTATTGGCTTCCACCAAGTTCCATGTTTCAGGACACATACAAAGTTCTTTCCCAGGGGAGAGAGAGGGAGGCTGGGGATAACTGGGTGGGGGACATGGGGTACAAATGCAATTTGTGGTAATGGGCATGCTGCCAGTATGGATCTGGCTTTCACATCTTGGGCATAAGGGATGGCAATCAGTTTTGTATCTCATGAATATTCATAACCAATAAAAAAACATAAAGTTCTTTCTGGAAGAAGTACCTACCTCAGTGCTTTTCTTTCTCTTTCTCCATACCTCTCTCTTCACTTAACAATGATAACCTTGCAATTATCTGAAATAACAGATGAGAAGGCCACATTCTTATTCTTATTTGTTTCCACTTGGCTAAGTTACTGTAAGTGAACATTTTCAGGGGTCTTGTTGCACAAAGCCTTTTTAGTTCTATCTCTTATCATTTAGGTCTAGAAACAGCTTTTCCAGTTTTTAATGCCCCTAATTTTTTACTTTCTCTCCTTTTCATTTCTACTTTTAAAATGCTTTAAAGCTAATTAAATCATTAGAAATCTGATTTGGATCCATTTGGGCTGAGGCCAAAAATGTTTGAAACACATAAACAGGCAACATGAACTTCATGAAGGAAATAAAACTCATCATTGAAAATGATCACCATGATGAGTGGCAAGCAAACTGAGAAAAAAAAATTACCAAGCTAAAGAGTTAGCCTATGGCATTCAGATTTCAGAAAATCTAGCAGAAATCACTACTGCAGAGATAGGCCTGCCACTGAAGGGACTTGCAGGAAAGAGCTACTGGTCATGAATGGTGGTTAAGAGGCTACTGCCTTGGGTTGAATGTCCCCCAAACACTTAGTCTCCACTGTGACAGTGTAAAGAGGGTGGAAAATCCTATTATAGTAACTGAAAATGTGGGGCCTTGAAGAGGTGATTAGATTGTAGGACCATGCCACAGTGAATGGATTAAGAATGGTGGTCAGGGGCATGATTCTGAGGGCTTTAAAAGGAGAGCATGTGACAGTCTATCTCTCTCTCTCTCCACTCTGCCATTTTCTGCCATGTGAAACCCCTGCATTGCTGTAAAGCACCACCAAAGAAGACTCTCACGAGATGTGTTCCCTGGACTTTGGACTTCCCAGTCTCCGAAACTGTAAGCAATCAATTTTGTTTCCTTTATAAATCACCCAGTTTCAGATATTTATAAGTGATGGAAGCGGACTAAGACAGTTACCCAAGGAGAAAATGTTGGCAACACTGTATCACGGATCATTACCCCCAACCCATTTGACATGGAGGGCAGAAGGCATAGAGAGATAAAAACACCACTGTGACAGAATCACAAGAAAAAGAGTATTATTATGTGTCCCCTCAGCTTTGTATTTAGCTCTTGGAATCATTCAAGAGTACACAGCATGACGTTCTAGAAAATATATAATAATATGATTAATTTTTACAAAACTGAGGATTCTATTCCTATGGCTGAGCCATTATTCAAAAGATGTCCCTGTATATGTAAATTAAAAGTCAAAGCTATGAAATAGGTTGATCTAGGAAGACTATCAGACCAAGAGATAGATTTCCATATTAAGAAGCAGTTTGTACCTTCATTTATTCAAAAATATTGATCACACACCTCCATGCGCAGGCACATACTTCAAGTGCTGGGTACATGGTGATGAACAAGATAATGTCCCTGCCACTTGGGCCTACTTTCTATGCAGGGGTAGAAGCAAGAGCACGGGGAATGGGGGTAGATCAGACAATAAACAGAAAAATAAATAATTTCAGATAGTGATAACTGCTACAAAGAAAAATACATCAGGAAGGAGGTTGGGGGTAAAGTTGAAGGAATAGTCACACATTTCATGCAAATGCAACAAGAAGCCACTGGAGGGTTTTTAGCAGAAGAATGACATGATCTGATTATATTTTTCAAAGACTATTCTGGATACTGAGGGGAGAAAGGAGGGAAAGAATTTAAGCTGGGACACCAGGGAGGGGCCTTCTGCATGAGTCCAGGGGAAAGATGCTCTAAGGGGTACCAGTGTTGGTGGTGGATAGGGTACAATTTGAGGATATATTTTGAAGGCAGAGCCTATGGGACTTGCTGATGCATTGGATATGAGGAGAGAGGACAAAAGAGGAATCCAGAATAACTCCTAATTTTTTTTACTTCGGCTGCAGCTATGCTCAGCCAGACCCAAGCAGTGGAAAGACTATCTTAACATAACATGAAAAAAATATACTAACGATAGTCAACAATCAGTAAGTCAGAAAACCCTGATTAGTAAGTTGTAAGGGAGAAGAAGGAAGCAGATACACAAACAGACTCATAATGTCAGGAAACAGCCCAAACCAAAAGGCCCAAGGGTGGGGACAGAAAAATATGAACATACAGAGCTGGTTTAAATAGTCTGCAATACCCACTAAGCATCTCAGTGGATCCTAAACAGAGCAATGGGGTCTCAGGAGCTGGAGTTCAAGCCTAATAATCAACAGCATGTCCAGTAGAGAGAGATTTTTATCCATAGTGATATGCTAGAAG